CAGCCCCGTTCTCTCCCGGCCGACAATCGCAAGTGACCGCACTGAACCCTCTTGCTCCACCATTCCAACCGCCCCCTTTGACTTTCAACTTTTCACCTTGTATTCCTGATATGAAGTCTCCGTCGAGTATCAGGATCTGCACAGTTAACGCATGCAGCTGGCTGAAGCGGGCTGATGAGATTAAAAACTTATTCTGCACATCTCAACTAGATATCTTGGGCATAACTGAAACCTGGTTGACTCCTGATATCACAAGTTCAATATTAACACCGTCAGCTGAATACAAAATTATCCGGCATGACCGTCACAACAATACCGTGCGACGTGGAGGTGGAGTGGCATTCCTCCTCCACCCTTCCATTTCCCATGCTACCAAACATCGTCCAGATCTTCAGCCTGCTGATCCAACCATTGAAATCGTGTGCATAGAACTAGAGCATCGCTCCAACTCCACGTTTGTGTTCTGTTGTTACCGTCCTCCTTGGCAGCCACCTGATCAGTTCTGCAGCGCACTCCGGACCTGCATTCAAACAATATCTTGTCCTCAAGCTTCCATATTTGTCATTGGCGACTTTAACGCTCGCCTCTCGAAATGGCTAGCATCCGATCCTGATACACCTGCTGGTACATGCATGTATGACACCCTGGATGATCTGGGCTTATCGCAACTTGTGGATCAACAGCCTACCCGCTACTCCGCAAGTGGTAAGAGTTCATCACTACTCGACCTAGTTATCACTAATGCTCCAATAGCAGTCTCCCATCTCACCATCCTCCCACCGGTATCTGATCACTGTCCTGTAGTTTTCGATGTCGTCCACAACCGATCAGCAGGCTCCACAGCCCAAATATCTTCTGCACAAAACACCTGGCTCGACTTTGCCCACACGGACTGGCAAGCATTTAACAACCACGTGTGGCAACTACCCTTGCTAGGTGCCGTCCAAAATGCGCAAACAGTTGATGAGGCCTGGTCATTGTGGCGCACAGCGCTGGAAGACTCTGTATCGTTGTTTGTTCCCGTTGTCCGGAGAAGCACATTTCCATCGAACAAGCCTTGGTACTCTGCTGTTCACCATCGTCAGAGGCGGCTTCGGGATCGCCTCTTCGCCAAGGCCAAACGTCTCGGATCTACAGATAGTTGGATAGCGTATAGACTCTCACGTAACTGTCTTACTTCCTTGCTCCGGAAGGCGAAACGCCATTATCACGAGAGGATGGCGAGAGACATGGCTCAGCATCATGGAACTCGTACATGGTGGCGCAAAGCAAAGATCCTTTGTAATGTGAATCGCCCGTCTCCGGTTATCCCTGACCTCTACCATGACAACCAAGCCTACCCAGCCACGAGTAATACGGAAAAGACGAATCTCCTAGCCAAAGTGTTTGCGAGCTACAGCCAGGCGCCACTGCTAACACCTGACCTGCACTCAGCTGGTATTTTAACACCCACGTCCACTGTGAAGTTCTCCATACAACCATTCTCTGTGCAGTCCGTATTTGACACGCTATCCAGACTTCCCATTCAACGTAAAACCGCTGGACTGCTGAACAATCGCATCCTCCGTGAAACAGCTGAGGTCACGTCACAGTCTCTTTCCGCCCTTTTCAACCGCTGCTTGCTGTCCAGTACTCAGCCCAGGGAGTGGAAATCTGCCGTTGTTGTACCTGTGTTCAAGGGAATAGGTAATCCTTCTCACCCAGTCAATTACCGTCCTATATCGCTGTTAAATGCAGTTGCCAAGTTGTACGAGTCTATGATTAGCCGTCAGTTTTACTCGTTTGTTGAGAGCCATAAAATTATCAGTTCCAGCCAGTTTGGCTTTTGTCGAAAGAGGTCAACAGTTGACCAATTGGTACCATGGCCAGCAATCGAGGACATCTGAGAGTTGTAATTTTTGTACTCCTCCGAGGTGTGATTTTTGGCGTGCTGGGCCAAGCACAAGGAAGCTATCTGCAAAAAAACTGCAGAAAATGGTTGTTGTTTGATCCTTTGGTGTAATCTTTGTTTCTAGTCGAAGCTAGTTGCTGTTTGGAGCAGAAACGCTGAAATTGACTATTTTCTGCATGTACTCATTCATGTACTCATGTACTCAGGCATGCAGTCTCACTCGTATTTTAGCTGTTTTTCTGGAATGGATGCTGCTCTGCGCCCCTTGGTGAACATTTCCTGCGCTCGTGGAGCAGCTGAAAAGGACCACTGGTATGTCTGGCTCCTGGTTTGAAAGTGGAGAGTCGACTTTTGTGCCTTGAAAAAGGAGTAGAGAGCGATAAAGGTACGTCTGTGGCTTATTTTTGAGTGCTCCTCGTACATTTTTGATCATGATAGAAATTCTCAGACCAAAGTCAGACCAAAGTCAGCGCGATGATGGCCGTACAGTTTTCTTGTGGATTTTTTAGTTGTTTCATCTCGTATCTATGTCAGTATCGTGATGGTGAAGTGGAGAGGGTGATTTTCTTCCTCTAGGCTTCGTTCGGCCGACTTTGCTTCGTCCTCGTTGGAAAGTGATCCTGAAAAAAGATCGATTCGCAAAATTATGTTGATTTTCAATGTACGTGATGACATACGATTGCTGGCTATGAGCTTACCTCAATTGTTTCGCGTGCATTTGACTCTAAGTCTTCTTGTGACCAGCTGTTCCTTGATTTTTCTAAGGCCTTTGACAGAGTTAGTCATCATTTAGTTATTCAATCTGTTTCAGGTTGGTGTTCTCTTTCTGCCTGTTCTTGGGTGAAGGACTTCATCAGTGATCGTAGTATTTGCGTTCGCATTGGCCAAACTCTTTCTGACCCTTTGCCCATCACCGCTGGCGTACCCCAAGGTTCCCATCTCGGCCCGCTTCTTTTTAACCTGTGCATCAACTCCTTTCCTGATGCCCCTGCTTCTAGTACCCTATCCCTTTTTGCTGATGACTCTAATTTAATTCTTGTTTCTCCAGCAAACACCTCACTTCCTATCCATCATGCATTGCTCCAGACTGACATTGATAAGTGTTGTCAATGGTCATCAGCTACTGCCATGACGTTTAACACCAGTAAATGCGTCCACCTACCCTTTCAAAAATATGCATTAGCCCCCGGCCCGTCATCCCCCTTGACAATGAACGGTGTGCCTATTCAGAAAGGTGATAGCCACTGTCATCTCGGCGTGACTATCACTCCTTCACTAAATTTTTCTGACCATATAAAATCTATCACCCATAAGTTTCGCAGTCGTGTTTTTCTGTTGCGCCATATGGCCCATTTCCTTTCTGCTTCAACCGTGAATTTGCTCTACAAGTGTTACGTACGACCACTGTTAGAATACGCAGTCCCTGTCTGGTCATTCGCCGTATCCCATTCAGATTCGCTTACGTTAGACCGACTGCAAGCCGTTGCTGCTCGTTCATATCTGCTTTGTAAGACCCGGCACCCTCCTGAGTGGGAAACCCCGAAGCAGATTCTTAATCGTACTTGTGACTGGTCATCCCTGAAGTGGCGTCGTCAGATTCTGTCCTTGCTGTATTTTCATCATGTCTTTTACCAGTTTCCGTCTTTGCTAATTCGTTTCAAATTCAATGTATCCCTTAGTTGTCGTCACCCGTCCTCTATAGTTTTACCTCGTTCTGGCGCCCATTTCCTTAAATCCCCTCTCTTCAGTTTATCTGTGGAATGGAACAAACTTCCAGAACACATCCGCTGCGTTCAGTCCTCTGTCAATTTTCGCATTGCTCTAAAGGCTCATTACTCTCAGCATAGATATTCTCTGACTGGAATTCCGAACTTTTCCGTTTGAGAAATTTTTTTTCCTTGAAATTAATCCTTGCTGGGTTTTTTTTCATCTAAATGTCCCGCTATTATCTGCAGAGGTGATTTCTTCCCTCGTCGATTTCTTTCCTGCTTTTATACCTCGATATTTAGGTACTTGTTTCCCTTCTTCCCATGCTTCATCTTCCACTCTCCTCTCCCCATTTCCCCATTTTTCTTGCGATATTTATGTGGGAGACTTCCGTGATAAGCATCCATTTGCTTTTGGAGAATCCTTTTAAATAAATACAATACAATACAATCACATTATCATGGATTTTCAATAAAGTTCTTTGAGTACACGTGAGAGCGTTCACCCCTACCCGTACAGTCGGAGGAGAACATGGGAAAAGGCACTGAAAAGGCAACACACATGAATCCCTCACAAACAAACAGTGGTAACTCTAGCACCAGCAATGTTGGACTTACATGTACATCCCAGCCATTGCCGCCGGATTCCCACGCTTCTTCTTCTTCTTCGTCATCCATCTTGCAAACACTCCCTAAGTCCTAGTTCCGTCATGGGCGAATGCGCAGTAGACTGACGATGGCGGAGATGGGGCAGATCAGGGAGCCCTATACTATAGTATAGGGCCGCTCCTTTGATGGAGTAGATCAGGGAGCCCTGTAGAGCTCCTTTGATGGAGCCGATCAGGGAGCCCTACAGGGCCCTATAGGGCTCCCTGGAGCTGATTGCGGGACGATTCCGGACGTGCAGTCAGTACGAAGTAGCAGATTGTGGACCGCGACGTAGATTGGAGTCGCGGGGTCGTAATCCACGGGCAAGATGTTGTTCCAAAGGGCACTACCCTGGTCTACAGTTACACCTAGCGATTGCCAGATGCACTTGGCAGCCCGGTAATTGGGTCACGTGTCACAAAAGTGTCAACAACGTATCGACCAAGTGTTTAGCGGTACACTTAGCGGTGCACTTATTTTGGTGGCACAAAACTGAAAAACACCCAGCACCAGTATGGAAAGGCTTCAGACGTCTAGACAGAAAGTCTTCCTAATAAAATCAAAAAAGGTGCCCTTTTTAGATCCTTTTTCCATTATTTCAAATTTCGCAGCACTGCACCGTGTACGATGGAATCACAAAAATACGGGAGCTCGCCAGAATCGACTGTAAATGACATGCATACCAAGAAGCTTCGAAGACAGCTTCCCGGAAGGAAAGTTGTACCTGTATGTAATTGTATTTATGCCAGTGAGTGAATATTCAATCTGCGGACGGAACCATTTCGTCCTTTGTGTACTCATCAGCGCAGTTTAAACCAGTGAATATTGTATTTAATTATTTAAAGATTCCCCAAAGGCAGTTCGCCTGTTGCTGCCAGTCTGTCCTTTGCAAGTTTCTGCATTATTTCAGTTGCCCAGAGTAGCCGAGATTATCGCAGCAGAGATCCGTGCGGGAGTGAGCTCATCCTTTTCTCCTCGATCAGTGCGATTCTTTTCCGTCCTCACATCTCCTTTCGTTCAGGTAAGATGTAGGTGGTGTTTTTAGTCACTGTGCCCTTTCGGCTCGCCGCATGCAGTGGCTCGCTACAATACAGCTCAGAAGATAAACGTCGTCTTTACACTCTTTCTGCCGTGTCACGTAGTTTGAGATATTTGTTGGTCACAGCGTTAGGCTGGGTGTCGGTAGCCCCTTGCCGGATTATGCTCGGTGCATTGCTGAATTATGCGTTCTATTATGTCCAAAATATGCCAGTGATTATCCTACACTATGCTGGAATTATGCCAATGGTTGTGCACATACTGTCCCCTTGCACTCTTGTTGCACAACGACTCTGGTACCATGACAGCACGGCTTATAAGGGGTAACATTCAACAAGTTATTTCCTGTGACATGCTTAAATATGCCCGCAGCATCAATCTTCAGCCAGCATTGTAGGGTTATGCCGACTGTCTGGTCTCAGAAGTCCTTTTATGCCAGACAATAATTTTTAGACAAAATCATGCATGTCATACTATACAAAATATGGGTTCACATACATTCAAATGGGACTTCGGGTATAAGGACACTTCGCAAATAAGGGCACTTTTCTGATGCCCTGCCGAATGTCGTTTTTCGCGAAGTTGACTGTTATTATACATATATTTTACAAAAGTGCACATGCTTACATAGAAAATTGAACCCTTCCCCTCCTTACGTTATTTCTATAACTTAGAACCTTCCAAGTTGGAAGACTGTTGGAGTGCGAATCCAAGATTTGCTAGAGCTGTTAGCCAGTTAGTTATTCTTGTATTTCGCTCTGTCCATAGCGGCACATGCAGCTCTCTCCTAAAAGAAATTTTCCATACCCGCTCCTCCAGTGCACATACTACTGCCGTCACTAGGTCCCAAATCTCTTTTTCTCTGGCCTTGCCTTCTGCCCGCACTAAAGCTGGTTTTTCTCATCTTGGCTACATAGGTTCTGATCGGTGGAACATGCTGCCTTCCACTGTTCGCTCTTGTACAGATTATCGCCCATTTGTTCGTTCATGCTTAACCTTTCTAGGGGCTCCCATAAGAAGACCATAGGTCTGTGGGAAACACCCTAGTAAAATAAATAAAATAATAATAATAATAAGTTGTAGAACGTCAGTACCGTCGGTCAGTGTCGTGCAATGTTATCGCATGATTGTTGATTATTTAGTAACTGGTGGTGTTAGTGGACATTATAGCGTAACTTTTAGTTCCTTGAGGGTAGCAATGGTCAGCTTTAGAGCACATGAAGGAGGTGAGTTAGTGTTTTGTAGCTTCAACATTCAAAAACAAAAGTATCTGTTTCCACTCAAACTAAACTGGTTATCAGAGTAATCGGCTATAGTAATATATCGCCTATTGTGATCACATTATCAATTCAAAACCACTCAATTGCATACCGTATTTTCCGGAGTATAGTGCGCACTTTAGATGTGCTATTTTAGGCCCTAAATCGCAGGTGCGCACTATGCTCCGAATATGAAATGCATGTACTTCAATGAAGATTGAAGTGCGCACCCCCAATGAAGATTGGGGGTGCGCGTTGTACAAAGGTGCGCACTATACTCCGGAAAATACGGTACATGATGATACCTACTGGAAGCTTTGGGAAACTGAGATTGTTTAAATGCTGTGTACTATCAGCAGTTTGGTCTTAGATTATATGCAGGTCCCTTGTTACTAGCTAATTTCAGAAATTTTTCGGTGCTCAATATTTTCGGTACGAGGGTAACAGGCCAGGTTAGGTGAACAGAAATTTTAGGTACAGAGAAGCAGTTCCCTATTGGATTACGTGTGTTAGTGTTTGTTCGGTGTATTGAAATTTTAGGTATGAAACAGACGCACCGAAAGCACCGAAAATAAAGGTACACCGAAAATTTGTGAAAATACAGTACCGTAAAAGCCCCTGTATACACCCACTCGAAATTACGCCCACCCTCCGTGTACACGCCCAGTCAGGCGAAGTCAACACTTTTGTTTCGAAATAGCGCCCATGCCCATGTACACGCCCAGGTATGCCGGAAACACCAGTACATGTACAGGTACTGATACCCAATACTTACTGCCATCCCTATTCCAAGTATACGCCCGGTTCCAAAATAACGCCAGTGCCCTCGTATACGCCCAGGAAATCGAGGCTGCTATTCTATACGCCCGGGGCCTATACGCGGGCTTTTACGGTATTTTGCACTTTACAAGTCTCGGTTTGATCCTAGATGGTGGTGGCATTCCCACTACGGATGCGGAAAACTCGGCTTTCAGCCGAGTCTCACGCGAACCGTGAAATTTATTATTTTTATTAAGTCTCGGTATTATATGTAGGATGCATGTCTGTTTGTGTATATCATCATGACTAAGTCGTAAAGTTATCACTTACATACTTTGCAGTACCACCATGTCCAATTGCATGGTTGTAGTAATATTCGCCTATCGTGATCAAATCCCGCTTCTTCAAATATCGACACTATAACATGTCTCTACCTGTGTTATGCTCTTCTGTTGTATCTGTAGTTTTGCAGGTGAAGTCATTGCGATCTGCATCTTCAGCCCCAAGGGGCGATGGGACACCAGCTCATGCTGGCCCTGCAGCTGCTGCAGCTGCTGATGCTTTTGCACTGTAGGTTGCCTTGCCTCGTGATGTGTTCGTGTGTGTTTAGCAATTTCCTAGCACTATGATAATATTATGCAGAAGTCGACCATTCATGCTAGTCCTTACTAAGAATTCTCAATGACCATTCACGGCAATGTGGAGAGCTCTACATGAATTTCTCGCCCTGTGAGAAAACTGCTCTAAGTAGATCGCATGCAATGTTGGTGAATTCTTTAAAACTCTCCAGAGACTAGAACTATACCCCTTAGTATGCCCCAGTTCTCTCCCCCCCCCCCCTACTCACCCCCCTCACCCCCCCCCCCCCAGAAAGAAAGTAAAGAAGCAACAAGAAAGACGAAAGCAAGGGAACAAAAGTTCGGCAACCGGCAGCTATATTTTAGGTCATTAACCAATAAGCAATCTACGAAACCTGTTGCCGACAAAATTCTAGAACCTTCTGGAACATTAGTATAAGCAGCTAATCACAGTTCACAGCTCTGCATTCGAAACTACTTTTCTGATCGCGGGCCTTTTTCAGTCGAGCAAAGCTCTAGTTTCGACTCTTCTTCGAGTGCCTGTCGTGACGATTCTCGAATTTCACTTGAAAATTCCATTTGTTAATGCTCCATACATTAAAAGGGGGCTACCTTATGAGAGAGTGTTTGGCTACTCTACCGTGTGTATGCTGTGTTTGCTATAGACATCGATGGCTATGCGTTACCACAAACCACTTTCACCAGTTACGAGTGTAAGTCGTGAAGTGCCTCTTGATGTCTTCTGGTCCTCAATTTTATTCTTTCGAACCAATGTCATGCTGGATTGCCCATTACTACACAACTGTTTAGGTTATTAACGTTTGTAGTCTTTGGGGGAATGGTTTCGGTGCTTGTTTCCCCAGCATTCTTTCTCAAATAAGGCTTAGAAAGAGGTCACACTTCAGTTTGTTCAACAAAAAATTATATTCCACTTGACGAGAAGGCTTGGAAATATACTCGTGAATATTTCCATTTTTTGTTAAAGAACCTGAAGTGTATAGAAAAGGACAGGACCAAGGAACGACAAGTTACGCTGTAATCTCCACTAACACCACCAGTTACTAAACAATCAGCTCGTGCAATAACATTGCAATTATTGGTATTGCACCCACAATTGAGATGCAATTTGTAATGATCTCCTATTATGGAGCCTATAACTTTACTTCCCCTGGTCCACATCAACTCCAGTTTTCTGCATACGACTCCTGATGCACCTGGCATTCAGATCGTATTTAATACGAACACAGATATGATTGTTTTGGTGTTTAAGTCGGGTTTGTCATCTGACGGCTGATATCAGCTCCCTGCATTATCTGCAGGCCACCAGTTTCATGCTCTGCTGTATATAACATGTCATGTATTTTATACGAAATTGTGCTGCAGGTAAGAATGATTGCTCAGAAAGAAAGCCGGAAGTATACTGTAAGTAATCGGAGGAGGCTCCCACCCAGACGAGTGAAAATATTAATTTTGTCATTATGTCCCCATTTTGTATGCATATGACGTCAGGATTTTGTTCACAAACTAGTGTCCCGTGCTCATGCAACCACACCAAAGAGCTCTCTCTCTCTCTCTCTCTGTCTCTTTCTCCCTCTCTCTCTCTCTCTCTCTCTCTCTCTCTCTCTCTCTCTCTCTCTCTCTCTCTCTCTCTCTCTCTCTCTCTCTCTCTCTCTCTCTCTCTCTCTCTCTCTCTCTCTCTCTCTCTCTCTCTCTCTCTCTCTCTCTCTCTCTCTCTCTCTCTCTCTCTCTCTCTCTCTCTCTCTCTCTCTCTCTCTCTCTCTCTCTCTCTCTCTCTCTCTCTCTCTCTCTCTCTCTCTCTCTCTCTCTCTCTCTCTCTCTCTCTCTCTCTCTCTCTCTCTCTCTCTCTCTCTCTCTCTCTCTCTCTCTCTCTCTCTCTCTCTCTCTCTCTCTCTCTCTCTCTCTCTCTCTCTCTGTGTTTCTCTCTCTCTCACTCTCTTTCTCTCTCTCTCTCTCTCCCCCCTCCAACTTGGAAGGTCCATGGATATTAGAGATAATCCTTGGCTCCCCATCTGAGACATTATTGAATATATTAATTTCATCAACGTTCTTTTACTCTCTTCTCCTTCTTCCTAGTTGATGGTGATAAAAGCAAGATTTACACTGGTAAGTTTTGTGTCGGCTGTGTGTTTGTGTAAATCTGCATGCGCATGAATGCATGTGTTCACATGTGTGTTTAAGGTCTTTTATGTATCGTCTCATACCGTACTGGCAATATATATGGTCGCAGTGAGGCCATGAAGCGTTACATTGGCACATGTTTACCGCACGCAGGGCGTTACATGCAAAGTCGCACAGGAGCAGTTACACAGGTTTCTATATTGCCGCAGTCCTTTTTTTGCTATTGCAGGACTTCCTGCTGCGTCCAGTTTTGAACTTTTCACCACGCGGTACACGTGCTTTCACAGTTTTCAGCCTTTTTTGCAATGAAAAGATCGCCGCACCCCGCCGGACGCGCGTTACGAACGCAACGAAAATTTGTCGCACTAGCCTGGTCGCGCGTTACGCCGCACCCCCCTGCGTTACGCGTTACGCGGCAACATATATTGCCAGTACGGTATTCACCTTCCTTAGGGTGTGCAGACTCCACTGTAGCCACAGTTCATGTTTCACACAGTTATACACCACTACTCAAAACGGTCTCTCGGCTACAAATTCTTCCAAAATTAATAAAATCCAAATTTTCGGGCCTGGCCCATCTTCAGGAATAGCAAGTCCAGAACAAAGACTATGGTTATTATACCTGTCAAAAACGATGAGACAGGTAGCACCAAAAGGAAGCAAAGGATAAGCACAAACTGAACATATCAGTGACAAATAACGCCTAAGCACCTAAACATCGCCCAGCAAACGCCAACCCTTGTCCCTATTCACCGCCGTTTTCCTCTTTCGCATGAAGAGGGCCTTCATGATTCGGCGGTCTACGTAGGATCTCTGCCTCTGGGCGAGAATCGAGGCTTGGGAGAATGGCAAAGATGACTCGGGAAAATGTGGCGTTTCTTGCGATTATGTTCACCCCAAGGCTTTTCCTGTGTGGCATTCGTTGCCTGCTCGTGGTGCTCCTCGCTGCGTTTAAGAAGAGGGGAAGGGGCAGGCCGGCTGAGTGTCGTGGATGTGATGCTGGCCTTCAAAGAAATACATGTATGTCTAAGGATGTTGTGTATTCGTTGAGGTGTGCTGTCCGTGGCGAGGAATATGTCGGTGAGACTGAGCGGACGGTGAGAAAATGCAGCGAGGAGCACCACGGGCACACGAAGAATGCCACATGTGTGTTTGTGTGTGTGTGTTTATGTTTTTTTGTTTGTGTCTTTGTCTCATCATCTCCAGCTTTGAGCAAGGATCTTCTAAGTAAGTTTAGTCTTGGTTGGGTGTTCATAAAGGCAGTTAGTAGCAGTTGCACAGCTATTTAGCATGCCGTAATGCCACAGTCAACTTTGCGCATAACGACACTCGGCGGGGCATCAGAAAAGTCTCCTCATTCGTGATGTGTCCTTATACCCTAAGTCTCATTACAGTTAGATGGGACTTTACTTTGGGCATGGAATTTCTGTCGTTATTGAGGAATTGTCGTTAAATCCGCAGTCGTTATTAGAGAAATTGACTGTATGTCAAAGCTCATTTGCTAAATGTAATGCATATTATCACCCCCTTAGTGGTGACTCACATAGATTTTTCCATACCTAAGCAGTCAAATATTCCTGCATATTTCACTCCTAAGGGCTATATTGACCGCTTATATTTGACTCCTTTTTAGCGATTGAGCACAGGCTTTGGTTAGTCATGATAAATCCAATATTGACTTCGTACTTGGTCAGTATAGGAAAAAAATACCTCGTAAAAGACCTCAACTTTGCCTCGGTCTTTACTCGGCTTTTATTTCCTATATTGACCTCGTACTCAGTGAATATTAGATACATATTGGTTGCCTTGAATTAAGTAAAAGGTGCACACACAACAGCAAAGATCACGGCATTATTTACAACTTATTAAAATTTTATTCCCTACAGTCCATTTGGCAATAAATAAGATTAATTGTGCACTCATAACAACAGCAAAAAATGAAGAAAGTTAAGTTCCATAACGCTTTCTTGTGTGTGTGTGTGTCCATTCTTCGGAAATAGTCCCGCTGGCTTTTGAAAGTCCGATTTGGGCCAAATTGAGGATCAAAAACCCACTTTAAATCTCAAAAATCTGGGTTTGGGATCAGCTTCTCCATACATTTTCCCATGGCATACCTGTCCTAATTTTGTAAAACCTGGCTGAATTTCCATTTCCCTGTTCTTGGAATTTTCTGGCCTCAAATGACATGTTGAAAGGAGTAATTGCACGGGTCACACAATACAGGATGTACTGTTGCTTTCACGATATCTACAACTATGTGCGGGAGACACCGAAAAGTTAGGGTGCCAGTTTCCAATGAATGGACTGTAGCGCACTCACAGCCATCTCACCAGAGTAACTGCGCACAAATCAACAATATTGGACAATGATGATAAATTCGGGTGTGTGTGAGTGGGAGAGTGGTTTGATGGGTGGGTGCACCTCTGCCAAATAGATGTTGAGTCTGTTTCCATCAGGCTCGGCTGCTTGAAGGTGTGCTGTTGTACCTGCCACCGTTGTTAGTTTCAGGGTCCACACACTTTCCTATTCAATTGTAGTATACATGTTTCCTCCATAGCCAAAACTTCCTGTTGGATTTTGATGGACGTCTGGTGAAATAGCGCATCATAATATATTTGAGCCAAGCGGGATGAAGATGACGATGCCTACTAATTCAGTATCTGTGCACACGGATATGTTATGTTCGTGACTTTATGTGTCATGCAGCTATGTCTTTTAACCCCTTGAGCGCGGGGCTGTTTGTCAGTGCACCACGTAAGAAAATGGTCTTTTTTGAAAATGTTCAAACCTTGGCTATGTGAAGTCGTGAAATCTTTGGGAGCCACAACCACAGGCAGTGGTAGGTAGGACCCAGACCAGCACTCGACAACAAGAACAAAAGCGAAAATCGGCCAAGGAAGAAGATACGGGCCATTAGTTTGTATATAAGTGCATGACGTACTAGTACGTCATCCTTGGGTCACTGTGTGGGTGTTATGACGTACTAGTACGTCATCCGCGCTCAAGGGGTTAAAAACTGATTGGTGCCATGCGTAGCATGTGGCTCAGAACCAGCATCCTGCAAAATCTGAATTCTGTAGGTTGAATGATCCTGCCGACACGCGTACATTGTGACTTCTTCTTTGGAGCATCTTCCACCATTGAGATTTCGATTTTTATTGATGGGAGGGGTGGTTTGAAACCTCAATATTGCTTGTTCCAACGATGTTTTGGAGCCAGGCCTGGTTGAAGTAAGGGCAAGTGTTAGCCCTGAAAATCTGCAACAAAAAATTATGCCGTCTGAGAAAGCGTGAGACCGACAGGCTCAGTTGAAGTTGGAGTATTTTCAAACCCTATGGAGACGAAGATGGAGTTCTTTTTGGAGATGGACATCGCCGCAAAGGACATGGTGTCCGACCGGCAGCGCCTGGTGCTACCACGGATTATTTGGCTGGTTATGTCAGCAGCCTAACCGTCGGTAAACCTGTTGGTAGGACCCAGGTCTGCTCGATGTCGTAGATCATAAACAATTTGGTAGTGGGCAAATTGAACTCAGCATCATGCATACGGAATTGTAAATTCAGAAAATTCCAAAGTGTCTCTGTGTGGCCGTCCTGTGCCACCCGAAACTCCAATCATGCTATTCTGTCTTCAGTTTGGTGATTTCAGGGGGTGTTGGCCGTTGGGAGGTTCAATAGCCAATAGATGATATGCCAAATAACGTGCAACTAGACTTGAGAGGGCATTGCAGAGTAGTTGCATACAAAGTTCAAAGTTGCACGGCTACCTGTGACTTGCATTCCTGCAGAGCTCAGGGTCTATCGTGTACACATTGTAGTATAATTTGTATGCAACTTGTGTGCGATGCCCTCTCAAGTCTGGTTTCGCGTTATTTGGCATAATTATCATCTATTGAATCATCTTTCCAAGATTCCTTTTGAATCCCTATCCGGGGCGACGCACGTGACCAGTTTTGGCAGTGAGCAAGTACAAGTGCAAGTAAAAGTGTGTGTGTGTGTATGTGTGTGTTTGTGTTTGTGTGTTTGCGTGTGTGTATGTGTGCGCGTGCGCATGTGTGTGTGTGCTTGTGTGTGTGTGCGCGCGCGCGTGTGTGTGTGTGTGCTTGTGTGTGTGTGTGTGTGTGTGTGTGTGTGTGTGTGTGTGTGTGTGTACATGTATGTGTGTGTGTGTGTGTGTGTGTGTGTGTGTGTACATGTATGTGTGTGTGTACATGTATGTGTGTGTGTGTGCATGTGTGCATGTGTGTTCACTTATGTCCGTGGGTACTCGTGGGCGTGCATATTATGTGTGTTTTTGTGTATTCGGAACAGGAAGTCCCAAGTTTGATTTCCACGTGCTGCTCAATCGGGCACTCAATACCATGACTTTTGACTACGCAATCTCGGAACAACATGAGCAGGGTGAACACCGTAGCTGTAATCATGTGGGCGGATTACACCTCGACGCACGCATTTGCCATTTAGGCAACAGCAAAGCTCATGTGGATATCACTGGAAAGATGGGTGAAATTTCGACAGTCGGAGACAGCTGCAAGATGCGAATACACAGTTTGGCAGTGAAGACGATGCTGGACAAACAGCTCTGCACCAGTGCCGATAACTGCCATCTGACGTGCACTAGCAGCTATACACGTGACTATAAGGTACGCGGGAGTTTCAATGGTTCTGTCAACAGTGCTGTAACTCTGAAGAAGGTAGTGCCAATGGTTGATCTCAAGCCTACACAATTTGAAATGGACGACACAGCAAAAGGTGAGAACGTATTGCACTTTCTTGTGCTTCTAAGGACAACAGGAGGTATGCATCTAAGATGGCTGTCACCTTTTTGCGGAGCAAGTTACCCCATACTTGGGAGGTACAACCTGTTATAGTACATTTCAGAGTATGACCTCCCAAAGTTCATGACATTTTATGCAGAGCTGGTATGACAGTGTGTACGGTTGTAGTAGACTTGCCATGCAAAACCTAACGGCGGGAAATCGATGCATGTGTAATGTGTAATGCAGATGCGATTGTTTTACAGTACTATGAAGCAGGGACAAAGACCACACGTAGAACAGGATATGGTCATAGAGAGGTTCGCCTACATGTTTTTTTTGGCCACAACTCGACGTGTAGACCTGTCACCTGGGTTGGAGGATGAAAAGTACGCGGCGGCGTGGAGCTCACGACTTGACGTGCATCTGGCGATCTACACGTATCGCGCTCCGCGAAGAATGTTTCAAGAACCTCCGGTCTGCGCAGCACTCGAGCGTCGGAATAAGGAACACCATGACATCACTGGAGGAAAAGGATCTGTCGATGTCGCCATTTTGGTTGTCCCGGAGATGCGGCTTGGCTTGCCACAACGCGAAGCCGAATCAAACTCTGTGCCGCGTAACTTTGCAACATGTGGCCAACGCTTTCGTCACGTTGGCGTACGCAGTATTTGTAGCCTCTCTATTCTTGCCTCAATGTTACCCATTGCAAATCATTCCCAGCGATTTGCAGCCCTGTACCCTGAACAAAGTACACACACTCCCTGTCTTTGCTTGTTTAAAACGTAGCTCGATACTAAGTCACAAATTGGTCTTCTGACCATCCTTCTGTGCAGGTCATGAGTGGAAATATTATGACTTTCCGCCACTCATCGGTTAGCACCCCCTCATGGACAACTTTTTCTTCTTCTTTTTCCATGGTGTGTTTGACTGAAATCTCCCATTTCCGAAGGAAAAAGAGGCTTTGCAGCAGGAGTTTATTATTATTATAGACAACACCTCATGGCATGAAAAGAAAATCAGCCAGTACAGGAGATGTTTGCATAAATACCCCCCCCCCCCCCCATACCTGCCAAGAACTGAGAGTGCTTTTTCTGGATCGCCAGGCCCAAATCCCGGGATTTGCCTTGATTTTTCGGGATATGCCATATTTTTCCAAAGTTCCTTTTTTTAAACTTTTTTAAAAGATGATGACATCAACATTTTGTGACATTGTCCATAGCAATTGTACAATCTAGATGATCGGGTGATGATATACATTGCATGTCTACACATTTTCAAGACTCAAACGACGTTGTTCGGGGACTGCTCATGAAATGAGTATTAGAAACCCCACTGGTACTACAGCTAAGACAGGACAGAATCAACAAAGACAGCTAGACACAGTCACTTGAAGTGCTCCGAGAACAATACTGGGAGTCAAGACTTGTTTCTTGTGACTGCGATTTTCGGGATCGTCGACAGGAATTTCGGGATCACGGGAGTTCATCCAAAATTGCCGGATAATCCCTAAAAAACGGGATACTTGGCAGGTATGCCCCCACCCCCCACCCCCACCACATCTTTTGTTTTTCCTGCTCAGCAAGGTGTGATTTGCCACAGATGCTGCAAAACAGCGACATCTTCGGACCAATTTTGATATTGTCATCATGCTCACGTTGTCTTTTACGCGACATTCCCCGCCTGCGATAGGCTATGGAGGAAGATGATGGCCAAATTCCCCCTAAGAAGTGGCCATTCTTGTCCCCTTCATCTATAGGGACGTGCAGAAGACAAAAAAGACAAATCTTTGGACCATTTTTTGTATTTAGCTACCTTAAAATTACATGTCTATTCATAAAGGGGAAATGCATCGATTTTTCAAGTAAGGCCGATAAAAAGAAAATCTAATATTGGTTCGAATTAGATGAATCTCGTTGGCACATGATCAGCCACACTTGCCAAATGCCCCATTATCTGATATACGTTGCCATAGCGACTGGCGGTGACGACACACATTATTTTTGCTTACCTCCGCGAGAAAGAGAGAAAGGCAATCACTGAAGAATGTTTTCATATTCTACGAAGTCAAGCACCAGCGCCTGCCACTTGTACTGTGGCTTGCGGACTGGATGATGTAGCGCTGTATCTCGGCCCCAAAACGCAGCGCACTCTGCCAAGTACAAGCGAGTGCTTGAACTGCAATGCTAAAAAAAGTACCCAGGATTGCTGAGAGCAAGGGAAAGCCTTCAAGTGAAGTGATGAGTCTTAGGACTCGGGATAAATATTCTGCTTTTTCAATCGTCAATTCTGCCAAATTCTGATCTCTCGTCTGTGATGCCGTAATGGGCAATCCAATCCGCTTAATTACCCCCACCCAAGCGGCACATCGTTTTCTCAACTGCGATTGCGGCAGTCCACCACGGCACAGGCAAGCATTGTCGGTCGAGGAACAAAACGAAAATAGAAAACATAGAGAGAAGGTGCTGAACGGCTAGTATCAACATTCAGTGTCGCTGAAGCCGAGACGTCAGGTCGGCGGAGATGCTTTAGTTTCACCACCACAGTTGCGTCTGCAGCCACCTCTAACATGCAGTATTCTGTTCTCGAGGTTCGTGGTTTCTCATAAAAAACCTGGAAAGCAAAAACAGTACAGTGCTTCCCACTCAGATTCAAAGACATGTATCAGGGGTGTGCGCAGGAATTTGATCAGGGGGAGAGGGAGGGGGGGAGGGGGAAGTTTTTTGATTGTAAAAAAAAAGTTAGCCGGATTCGCGGCCGCATCACCTGACGTGTTGAGAAACACATCAAGCAAATACATTCGCATAGTTTTTTATTGTAGTTACACTGAAATGGCACCAAATGCTCGGAAATGCTTGCAATTGGCTTCAATTTTTGAAATTTTTTTTCCAGGGAGGACCCCGCACCCCCTCCCTTCTTCCATGGCTGCCCCACCTCTAAAGTTGGTTCGATGGGACTGGAGTCATGATGTCACCATCCAAACTAATCAATATGTGTTCTTGCCCTGTGTTTCATGTTTGACTAGTGCAATGTCAACCTCCTTGTGGAAAGGGTTCTGGTGGGGTGGAGCTGTGCATTCCATCAGCCGACGCAAATAATCCCTGGAAATCACGGTGCGTTTCGCAGGGGTATTCCAGTAAGTACATATGCCAAGAGTGTATTTCTTTTTTCTGTGCATGTTTAGGCTGCGGTCACACATGCACTTGTTTCGCGGCGCATCGAAGAAAAAGTTTGAATTTCGCTACGCCAAAAAATTGCCAGCAGAAACTCCGCTTCTGCGGATCCGCTTTTGCGAAACCTGCATGGTAATGGCTCTTGTGTGCCACTTTTGATGTTGTTTGGTATCAATTCACCATGTTCTTCTTCACTGCCAATGTACCGTATGTTCTGGAAATGTCGCAACTCACTGCGTCACCATGAGTGGGTACTGTAAAAGCGGAAAGTCCAACGAGTCACAAAGTCTAACGTTTTAACGACCAGTTTTATTTTTCGTTATTTGAGGAGACTTTAACGCGAACCCGGTTTGAGATGTCTGTGCATAAATATGCGCATACGGATGGGTCGTCAGGTAGCCATCGTTAAACTCTTTGGTGGTTGAACATTCCGGTTTTACAGTAATTGATGAGGAAATCCGTCACCCAGACTCCTTGGCCCCGATCGCGGACCAGGAGCGACGGTGTTTCGCTCTCCATCAATACGTCCGCCGGAGTGTGTACCACTAGGACTGTAACCGGGGAGTAGTAGAGTACATTGCCACTCTCTCATTGCAACCACAGGCATCAGCGCTGGGGTCGATGATGGAGAAGGCAACAAAACTCTGCAGTACACATCCGTTTGATATTCATGCAAAATAAAATAAAATTGAAATACACCCGTAGTGGACACCCATACTGCACCGCAGTATAGCGCGAGCCCCTCCCCCCCCCCCCCCCCCCTCTACCCCCTTTCTCCATATTTTCGTGCTGTCATTATCATCTCTTGGTTCTGTTAAATTTGTTTTTGTTTTTGGCCATGACGCGTAACTGTGACTATCTGAGCCCTACTGGAACAATCGATGAACTTCCCCTTTATCACTATACTGGACCGTAGTGAATGCGCTCATATCCATCAGGGTGCTTCACAGGAGTTATTCAGTGCCATGAAGCAGAAGCCTGCCGGCAATCACAATCCACCACACTGTAGTTCTACGAGCGAAGGTCGGTTCAACTCGGGCAAAAACTACTAAAATTTCAGGAAATGTACGCAAATTTTCATTCGCTTTGCCAATGCAGAGCGTTGAGGAACACAGTGATATGTGACCGCTGCATCGTGTGTTCTGCAAAAGAGGCTGCGTTAGTCACGCTTTTCACCTCCGCAAAAGCGGTGTAAACTTCTGATGTGTGATCGCGGCCTCAGTCACCGACAATGCTACACTTCTAGACGATACTAATAAGTGCAGATCTGTCTGGCCTAGTGTACGCGTTGATATGGTGAGAGTTATGACGCATATGGTATGTGGTGCATGCAAGACTATGCGTTGTCACAGAGCCAGAGCCATCTTCTGTCTGGATCCATGATTTCAAATTTCCACTCATCCATGCAACAACATATAGGGTACACATAAGAAGTCCTTAGGCCTGTGGGAATGCCCAGTTCAGGAATAATAAGATGTATGAAGAGCCAAGGATACATGAATAGAAAAGAAAAAGGACCAAGGAACCACAAGTTATGCTATAACGTTCACTAACACCACCAGTTACTAAACAGTCAGCTCATGCGATAACATTGCACGACACTGACCGACGGTACTGACGTTCTACAACTAACTGGCTATCAGCTCTAGCACATCTTGGATGCGCGCTCCAACAGCCTTGGACTGCGCATCTGACTGCCTTGGACTGCAGACCTGTTGTTCCTGACCTCTCCCTCTTTGTTACAAGAAGGAACTGTTGCTCTGTAGTGTGGAGTACGTGTATTGGAGAGAGAGAGAGAGAATCGGAACAAAAACCAAGAAGGTTTGTAAGAGAAATTGCTATAATTATTATGCATGCACGCGCAGTAGCAATAGTCAGTAGTCCGCGCACAATCCGTACCCAGCGGCGAACCCGAGTGCAGCGCAGCGTAAACGGGACCTTGCACAGGTCAAAAGGAGTACTTTAGCACCCTCCTTGCTAGCCCTTGAGCTAACTGGTCGGGCCCTAAAAAGCCGTAAGGCCCTCTCCACCATGGACCTACCTATAAGTACGGTCTATTCGGAAATTATGGAGCTTTGGCCATCATCAAATGTGACTTTTGGTTCTCGGATTCCAAAATGACCAGAAATGGGTTTTGGACCAGCAACATTTGTTCCAGTGCCAGTGGAACAAAAACAAATACTAAATGAACATGTTTCCTTTTCTTTTGTTTCTGCCTAGATGATGAACCCGAACCAGGAGGTAAGGATGTACATATACAATAGTATAACACTACCTTGGTCTGTTACTTCTTCGTTAGTCTTGGAGTCTTCACTGTATTGTGCTTGATCATACCAAGGTTGACATCTCCACCTTCATTCATTGGCGCCGTGGACAGCATGTTGTACCAACTACTTACACACATAGGAGGAGAAGGCCTGTTCAGCTGTAACTTCAAACTTCACGCTTCCTAGCGATCTTCAGACGGCACATTCACTGCTGTTATTTTGCAAGCCGGCCTAGAGTTTTGGTGCTAGGGTGGAAGTTAGCACTCACAAACTGGTAGCCATGACCTTATTAGAATACCAGCTTAAACCGGTTGCCGTAGAATATAACCAACTCTTAGTTTCTGTATCAATGTAAATTCACTCACGTACTGACGTAGCAGAACCAACAGAGAAATAGAAACAGACACAGACTCAGAGACACAGAAACAGACAGACAGACAGACAGAGACAGACAGAAAGAGAGGGACAGACGGACAGACGGACAGAGAGAGACAGACAGAGAGAGACAGACAGACAGACAGCGAGAGAGAGAGAGAGAGAGAGAGAGAGAGAGAGAGAGAGAGAGAGAGAGAGAGAGAGAGAGAGAGAGAGAGAGACAGACAGACAGACAGACAGATAGAGAGAGACAGGAGAGAGAGCGAGAGAGAGAGAGAGAGAGAGAGAGAGAGAGAGAGAGAGAGAGAGAGAGAGAGAGTTGTGGCATGGGTCTAGGGCCACCCAGTTTTCGCGCTTTAGGAAAGCCCTCTTTGTCAGTCACACATGATCACCTGCCACCGATGGTTGGGATCTCTAGCTGCCAACGTGTTGATTACACCTACATGACCAGGCACAAGCAAAGGTACAAAAAGGCACAACCAGACTATTTCCTCAGTGCTGGGGTAAACACAAATTTCAAAGCTTATTGTGGTCTTATTTGGATCTCGAGAGCCAATGGCCACACGTGTGGGTGTAAACAGGAGTACGATGATAGAAATTAAGACAGTGGGAGAGAGGCAGAAACAGAAGCAGAGACAGAGACAGAGATTGTGGGTATGTATGTGTGCATGCATATAATGGCATGTGGGTATGTGAGGGAGAGTGAGTTTATGTGGACATGTCCTTTTGTTGTGTATTTGTACACATAATACTATGCGGATTTTCTCCAGATTTTAGTTCGTTGTGCACTCCCCTAACATACGAATGTCAGGGTATTAGAAGACTGAAAACCAACGAAAACCAACATGCAACGTGTACATATCTGTATGGGAATAAAACATTTTAGCTATACACATTTTAGGAACTCAGATGGTGAGCCAAGGAAAAATTTGTAACATGGAAATTGTGGGCACAAGTTATGCGATCGAGTTCACCAACTCAAAATCTGGTTTAGTTGGTGGACTCGATCGCATAACTTGTGCCACAATTTCCGTGTTACAAATCTATACACATTGGCCTGTTTTCTTGTGATTTTCTTTTTTCTCCTCTATCAGATTACATTTACAAGATCAAGCTGCTGGACAATACTGGTCTTAAAGCCTCTGTAGTGCTACGCAACTTGTTTAGAAATGTTCCGCTAAGTGGTGTCAGAACAAATATAACCAAATGTGTCCTAATCAATGAAAGGTTTCAACGTCTCAAATTCCGTCCATGGAATCCGCAAAAGACACGGGCAGAAATTCACTTCACATCGGAAGAGGTAGCCGCCATCAGGACACACATGGCGAGCTGCTCTAGCAAGACCGCAGCCTGCTCTTTGAACTGCACAGGCGGATTCTTCAAATATATCGATGTACATAAGAGGCAATATCAGGAACATTTAACATCCAAGGCTTTCGTACTTCGCCCAATGCACATAGATACACACCCCACGGATATCTGTAAGCCATGCTATGTATTACATGATTGTTCTTTTAAGATGACACTGCTGCCTCCAAATTGGCTCTTATCGCTGTATAGTTTGCGGTTCAAAGAAGATTCGCATGCTCCTTACAACTTCAGACTGTCGAATGACTAATATAGACTATTCCTGACTCGTTAATCCCCAATACGGGTGAAGACAAAAATAAGCACATTGAGCAGAGCGCTCAACTCCGGAAACGAGTTCAGGAAAGCGTAGTAGATCAATATTACACTCACCCACTGGGGTCCGGACACATGAGAGATATGTGTGTAGTACATCTGGTATGCAAGTCCATATGCACATACAGCTGCCGTTGAACGGCAAAGCTGCAATCATGCTTCGCGGCTGAACAGTCTGGTCCCTTGCTGCTGCAGATATTGCTGCCTGCGACATTGCTCGCCATACGCACAGCAGAACTTGAACTGGAGACACCCCGGCCCTGTTGGTTGCTTGCTGCGCTTGCAATTGTGCCACTGAAATCCAGCAGCATATCAGAAGCACGGGTCACATGACGCACAGTGGAATGAGCAGTAATGTTGATGCTGAAGCACTAGGCGAGGTGCAGGATCGACAGAGTCCGATGGCTGTCGGGAGGATACTGTGGGAGAGCACGTATGCACATTCAGCCCACCAGCACATTTAAGCCACCTACCACAATGTAAATGGGAACTTGAACGAGGCTGTTGGCTGACAGGAAGTTGACAGGCCACACTGCACTCATGCCACTCGCACCCAGACGCACTAAGATTGCCGACACACACACACACACTCTCTCTCACACACACACACACACACACACTTACACACACACACACACACACACACACACATACACACACACACACACACACACACGCATACAGACACACAAACATGCACACGCACACACACACACACACACACACACACACACACACACACACACACACACACACACACACACACACACACACACACACACACACACACATGCACACATGCACACACACACACACACACACACACACACACACACACACACACACACACACACACACACACACATACACAATTTTCTTCGAGTCGGTTTACCGTTTTCCCATTGCTGCTCCTAGGCGTTCTGTGTTCATAGTTGGATTGGCATTCCTGTTTTCCTGGTGAGGACGTACACACTGCAAATGTTACCTTATCGTATTTGCCGGTGTACAGTACTGTCAGGCGCCGAAGAACTGGGGATCAGGGTTCTAGCCTAGCCCATTCTTGTTTTTAGCAACCAAAGCAGTTTCGTTCTTATTCCATGGTACAGTCTTACATGTACATTTTATGCGGAGTGACATTGCAAACGTCTGCGTGTACATTATAGTGTACATTACGGTTTCCGTTCTTTGTCTGCAAAGAATGCAGCCTACACCATTTCTAAAAATTGGTGAAATTCTAGCCTGGCCGTTCTTCGGCGCCCGGCAGCTCTGTATACATGTAACTCCAACCTGAGCGTAATGCGCACCCCCCCCCCCCCACGCACACCCCTCGTTTGACCAACGCTTTGGCAATTCAAGCAGTATTCAGAGTATGATATGCAGCCTAAGTCTGAGGAATTTATGGAATATACTAGCAGTGGTGTAAATTGTCATTAAATTATTATCACCGACTGATCCACACAGTCAAGTAAGACAATTTAGCACCCGAACGTTTTCATTCCCTTCTCATGATGGGTAAATACAGGGAATAATGGAAAAATGTCAAATGCAGCAACTGATGATGAGAAAGGAACGAAAACATTCAGTTTATACTAAATTGGCTTACTTGACTGTGTGGATGGCGTCGATGGTGACACCTTTTCTTTCAAAATTGGATACGCCTCCAATTTTTTACTTACCGACTCATCCATTTGAATTCGAAGTTCCCCCAATCCTTTAAAATTATTATAATGTGTACATTTGTTGAAATGTAAGTGCTGCCTAGGGGGTTTCATACCAATCTTGTTTTGCAGTTTACCTGCTTGCAGAAGACACCACAAATGCATTAGATATGGCTTGTGCATATATGGTCAGAGAATCAGAGGTGGTAAACTTCGCAACAGTTTGATGCATTGCACTATATTTCGAAGTGCATGGATTGCCATAATTATTCTGAGCATAGTGCGCACCTGCGATTTCGGGTCTGAAATAGCGCATCCTTTTTAGTGTGCACTGTACTCTGGCAAATATGGTACCATGTGGATTTTATTCTTGCTGCAGGGACATATGGGTCCCAACCCAATTCTACGCCAATAATCCAAGGTAACTGTGGCAGATAACATAATGTATGGTAAAGAAAAGGACCAAGGAACTACAAGTTACGCTATGTCAACTAACACCACCAGTCACTTGACAATCAGCTCATGCGATAACATTGCATGACATTGACCAACAGTACTGACGTTCTACAACTAACTGGCTAACAGCTCTAGCACGTCTTGGATACGCACTCCAACAGCCTTCCAACTTGGAAGGTTTTAATTTATATGAAAACATAGCAGCGGAAGGTGAGCGCAACCAAGACAAGCACAAGCTGGAAGTCTCAGCTGTGAAGGACATTGGTGGATGTACATGCATGTCGACGACAATACTGGCAAGACCATTGGACAAAACGGTCAAACCACGATTCAAGAGCGCATAGAAACATACCATACAACTTGCGTGGCTCTAAAGTTGCAAAGATCAAATGAAGGAGAAGCTAGGCGACCATGAACCATGTCTAACCTGATAGCCGCTGATAGCCAGTTGGTTGTAGAACGTCAGTACCGTCGGTCAGTTGTGCTCAATGTTATAGCATGAGCTGATTGTCAAATAGCTGGTGGTGTTAGTGGACATAATAGCGTAACTTGCAGTTCCTTGGTCCTTATTCTCTACTATAAATTAATCATTGGCTCTCCATCCGAGATAAAAGAAACTCTTGGAGAATTAATTAACTTTTGTTTGCTCTCCAGGTGTTCAGAGTCAATTGGATACCCACATTCCTATTCCATCTTCGTAATAATTTGGTCATTATTGGTAGATATTGGAAAATTAGAGGCCACATGCCACGTACAGCTCTTTTCTCAATACTTTAAAATTCTCCGTGAAGTCCAAATTTGAAATTGCAATTATTGGTAGATGTTCATAGAATTTCATGCTGTGTCTCCATATCTTGTGATATTGGGAATTTGTTCCAACATTGGATTTTTAAAGCTAAAATAGCATCATTTGGAACTTACGAATCTACTCTAGAACATGCTCAACAACCGCAGGTCATCACGTACATGGAACATTTTTCTGAATCATCCTTTTCTCGTCATCACTAGTCAACGAGTACAACACAAAGTCTGCCGAACGAAGCCTTGGGGAAGTTAATAATCCCCTCCACTCCTCAATCAAGATGCTGCCGCGTGCGTATGAACCAAACCAAGTAAAGCACCCACCAGATAACTGTACACAGACACATCCACGCTGGCTTTGCTCTCAGGATTTCTATTACATTCTAAATTGACAAGGAGCACACAGCAATTGGTCTCTCTTTAACCTTGAACCTTCCGAGTTGGAAGGCTGTTGGTTAGCGCTACGGAGATGTGTCAAAGCTAGGTGTCAGGACTTCAAATGTTTCAGTACTCTGTCAGTTATGTGCCGCTAGTTGTTGCACATTTTAACTCGTATCCATATGTCCTTTTCCTTTCTGCATTTATTATTGGCTCAACGTCCGAGTTACAAATTGCACACAGCAATTGGTCGCCTTTGTTGCCCTCTGCTCTTTTTCCGTGCACCAAGGCAATCTCTCCACTTCCGCAAATTGGAAAAAGGCATTATGATATTAGTGGTCCTTTTCAGCTTCTCCACGAGCGCAAAGGACCGTATGCGTGTTAAAACAAAATGGCGTCACGATTTATTGAAAGTGGTATAGTTGGTGGAACGAGTGTTCAAACCCATTTGAACTTCATACTGTTCGTCTTCTTTTTGACATGCTCTCTTTCCATCGTCCTTAGCTTTTGTTTGTTGAGAGCTGTTTTGGCTTTCTCCTATACCTCTGGGGGATGCCAAGTGATGGTTTTGAGAGGCTGGTGATGGCTGTGAGCGAGAGTTTGCCGATCGGCGTCGTCCTCGCTATAGCGATGAAAATACTAGTTACTGCGCACCTGGCACATATCACAACACGTCGGAGCGTCCAGGAGCAAAGGAATCTTGGGTTTTCACTGGAATCTAGTTCCTCCAGCATCGTGTAGCCCACCGTCGGTGAATGGCGGTCCAGAAAGGTCGAACCTGGTCTTCTGCAGCATCTCGCAGTCCTGCAAGGCACACTGAATACGCCTGTCATGTATTCTACAAATAAAAATCACGAAGTTGTGGACTTTACAGTGATCTGGTGATGAGTCTATCCTGTATGCTGCAAAGACGCAGGAAATGTGACTGGTGTCCGTACACTGGACGCCAATATCATCCCAGTCTTCTCCTGCAGGGTCTGTTTGACATTGACATACCGGTATGCAGTGGGTCGACATTGGCCTGGTTTGGCAGCTATCTGCCTGGGTGGATGTAGCAGGTTTGCATTGGCGCGTCGTCCAGTCCGACATTTTCTTGTAACTGTGGAGTACCGGCAGGGTCTGAGAGGTTGCTCGTGCTGTGAACACATCTCTACTGCCTGTCTCGTCCTGGAAGTGCCGTCTCGCCGCTTCCTTGCTCTACAGTCACGCCATTATTTCGCTTTGTTTCGTAGTGCAGCTCAAAACCTGCCCAAACAACTGTGAGCTCGCAACATGGTATGGACAAATTGCACCACTCATGCTGGTTAACTAAAACCGGGATAGTCGAGTAAGCGAGTTCACTCCCTGATGGCAAGATCTGTTCAGCGCGGGCTATTCCAACCTCCAAGTGCATAGTCACCGATCGATCCATGCGATGGTGGTTGACCTACAAAGAGCCAAGGTCTACGAGTACTACTATTGGATGCTGTCTACATGCAGTCAACAAAATCAAAGTACCTCAGTATGCCCCAGAACAGGGCATGTGCATCTATTGCATGACACAACAGGGGTTCTGGCGGCACCTGTCAAACAAGCAGTAGCGACTAGTGCCAGCTACCTATTGGAGGCTAGCCGCTACAGTCTGTCACTGGAGATAATTATTATGTTCACTGTTTACACTGAGCACAATCAATGATGCCCAATCAATCTGCCCAATGTGTGTTCTGTTCCACCTAATTATAACGTCCCATCGCATCAACCCTACTACACGCACATGTCGTCACTCTAGCACGACTTGTGTTATTATTGTTTATTTTGATTCGCACGATAAA